GGCTTATATTGAGAACTACTATAGTATATTGGGGTTATATTAGGAGAATGGAAAATAAGATGGAAGCTACAGGAATTATAGGGGTTATGTAGGGGTCATATATTGGGGTTATATTGCGATAATGGAAAAGAAGATGAGAACTACTATTTAGGATTAGGGGGGTGAGGGTTTAGAGTAGGATCAAACCTAGTAAGTACAGATAAGTTGGATGCAACCTACGCCTCACCAATCCTTTATAGAAGCCGAGCAGTTTTGAGCAAAGCCGAGGGACGGTTCTATGGTGGGGGCGGTAAGTACGTATGAGCTGTGGTCTAGACTCCCTTAAATGGGGTTATATAGGGGATTGTAATAGGGGACTATACAGGGGTTATTAAGGGGGATGCTGGGAGTTTAGACTATATCTCATATAGTTTTCGGCACATAAAACCGTGATGAGCATTGTGGATTTGCGGGGGGCTGCTGCATCAAAATTCAGGCCATCCGGCAGCTTCAACAGTTATGTTGGGGTTATATTGGGATAAGGGAAAATAAGCTGGAAACTACTATAGTATGTTCGGGTTATATTGGGAAAATGGAAAATAAAATGGAAACTGCTATTTAGGGTTTAGGGTGTAGAGTAGGATCAAACCTAGTATGTTCCCCAACAGCATGGCCGTTTCTCTGCACTCCTCGAGTTTCCATTGAACCTTCAAGCCTTCAACCCCGAAACCAGTCCATCCCTAGACCCTAACCGCTAAACCCTAAACCCGAGTCCATCCCTGTTAGGTTCGAAAGACAGAGACCTCCAGGGCTCAGATTCCCGCAGCTTTTGGCAAGACTCACTCCTTCAAAGGACTGGTTTAACACAGGAGTGAAGGCCTTTCATAACAGTGCTGCAGTAGGCAATATGAGAATATATTCTAAAGAAATTACATGGGGATTATATTGCCAAAGAAGCCTGAAAAGTTAGTCTCAGTAGCCCATAGTCTTCCTCCCTTTCCCTCATATCATGCTTGCATGACATATCCTATTCCCAACTGTAATTGGGGAGATCTCCCATTTCCCAGCTGTAGAGCCGCCATTCCCAAGGCAACCCATCATGGAGGCGCTGTGGAACGAAGACCTGGGCGGCCGAAGAGCAAGTGCTTGGCAGGAGCTGCCAACCGGGAATGTACCCATTAGGGTAATATTAGGGTTATATTGGGGTTATATGGGCTATAATGGAAAAGAAAATGGAAACTACTATAATAGGTAGGAGAATCCTAGTTTCCATTTCATTTATGGCAGGGATGCCTCAAAGTCAGAGGTCCAGGAGACCTTCTAATGCGGATCAGGATTGGTGGCCGATATACAGGCATGAGAACCCCATTTTGAGTCTAGCAATTTTACTACATGGCGCTCCAAACCGACTTTGAGACATTGCCAGCGGCCAGAGCAAGCGATGGGGTAAGTAGTGGTAGTGGTAGTAGTAGTGGCGGTGGCGGTGGCGGTGGCGGTGGCGATGGCGGTGGCGGTGGCGGTGGCGGCGGTGGTGGAGGTGGTGGTGGTGGCGGAGGTGGTAGAGGGGGTGGTACTAGCAGCTAGCAAGGAACAGTAGCAGAAAACAAGCGAAATGGTTGATGAGACGGGGCTGGGGGAGTCGAAATACTTGCCTTTTCCTGCGCGCATTGAATACCAATTGGGAGACATGAAAGGACATGACAAACCCTAAGCCCTAAACCTAGGTCTTTACGTTAGGAATTGGGGTCAAAGACTTCAGCGCGAAATTGGTCTTCACTGCATAAGTCTCGGACAGCGCTGGCCATGCGGTAGACACTTCCCGGTAAAGGGAGTCCTGCCCTGCAAAAGGGATCAACCTCATTGCCAGCTTAGGGGGACAGGAAATATAGGGGCCTTACCAATATTATGGTTCCATATTCCGTATCTAATTATGGTCTATGGTACCTCAACATGATTTTGGTAATTATATAGGCCTCTGTAGTTGGGCATGCGGACGAAGAATAACATAGCTTAGCTTGAGGGTTGCCAAACCTTACTACAAACACACACTACAGGGATCCCAATGAAAGAATTGCCCTTGTGGATACAGGGAAATATTGGGGATTTATTCCAGCGTTTACTTTCTGGGATACGTTTGGGATACGTTTTAATTTCTTGATGGGCTTCTTTTCCCCAAAATGAGCCCAAACCCCAAGCCTAGATCCAAGACCCAAAGCCCGCAAAGCTTTCCGGTGTGGCCGATGGGATGTTAGCCAATGAGGAGATTTTTTTGGTGCGGGCTTCGCCTTTAGCAATGAAAAAGAAAATGGAAACTACAGGGATCATAGGGGTGATATGGGGTTATTTAGCGGATAATGGAAAAGAACATGGAAACTACTAGAGGGGACTTAAGCCAAGAGAAATTGACGCCGAAAGGCAGCTAGATGAAGAAGTGGCGCTGACAATGGTTTCCAAAGCCAGCCGAACCCCTTATCCCTCTATGCTCCTAGGCCACCTGTAAAGGCTCAAAGTTTTTTGGGGAGCAGTTCTTCTCATGTAGAGAAGCATTGAAAGCCGTAAAGGTACTGCCACCAGTAGAAGAACAAATTGAAGGAGCTGCTATTGGGTGGAATTACGCTGCAGCACGACTCCGGCGATTACGCGCCTGAGCAGCCTTTATGTAGTGGACAGTCCTTCAGGCTGTGGGCCACTGGAGTACTTGGGGGTCATCCCAAACTTAGGGATACTTTTTTTGGGGGTCCCTATGATAAGGATTGTAGTATATCAGGGTCTATATTGGGGTCCCCCTCGTTTGGGAAATTACACCAAAGTGGCTCATTGTTTTTGGTGACCAGGCTTTCCAGGCAAATTCTATACCCTAAACCCTAAATACCACAAGCACTAAACCCCAGATCCTGAGCCCCGAATCTGAAGTCCTAAGATAACTAGCTCTGAAAGTGGCAGAGGGGGAATTTTGGGAGATGGGCGCTCCCCAAAAAATCAGCGTCCTCTTACCCAGGCTGAGACAACTGCATGAATCCCGAAAAGAACCCCTAAATTTTCACAGACGTCCACGGGACCTCGAGCCTTAAGTGTGGCAATGAGGAGTGGACAGCATTTCTGCCTAGCATACGCACACCAAGGTAGCTTGTAGTTCTTCCACAGTGATTGGCCTCTGAAGCCGGATCTCTGCATGCTTCTTCGATCAGTTTGTCGGACGTTGCCGAGGACACTCTCTGCGAGCAGGATTGCGCCGAAGATGCTGCCATCCGCCGTGATGTACATAGAAGCTTGTCTGCAAGCAAAGTTGATGGACTCGGTGTCAACCCCTGATGCAAAGGAACGCTTCCCCAAGAGCCGCTCTTCCGCAAAGATGGGCGCGGGCAGATGATGCTTTTCAGGCATCTCGCTATCATCCTGCCCTGCAGCATGCATCCACCTAGAATGATGGGGTGCCAGGCTGCTGCATGCGCTGGCAATCCGACTCAACGAGATCGGCTACTGTCAAAGTCTGCGCAAGCCTCAGCATATTTGCTATGTTTCAAGACTCTCCGCAGTCAGCTAGCCGAGGAACTTCGTTGTTGCAACGATGTGCCCCACTTGCAGATGAGACCCTGCGCCAGTCTTCTTGTGCCATCAGTGCAGACTGGGAGCATGTTCTCAACCCTCAATGACATGCTCAAAGTTGTGTCTCAGTATCACGTGCAGTGGTAGCTGTGGCCTTGGCAACAAGTCTGAGAGATTCCAAAATATATGAGTGCTAGTTAAAGTAGGCTGCCAACTTCTTGTGCAGCCAGATTCTAGATGGTGTATTCTACAGGTTACCAGTACCGAAAGAGAACACAGGACTTTTGAGAAACCGCCCATATCTCGGGATCTCAGGGTTCTCGTTTTTCCAGACGACGAGCTGTCAGCGTTCAACTGCGCCTTGACCCTTCTTTTGCGACATTCTTTGGTGGACCTGTACAGGCCTGCCACAGGGTTTGGGTCTCATGCAAGGGCTCCACTACAGCCTTCACTAGCAGGGCTTCTTGTGCTGCAAAAGCATGCAATACCTGATGAAGCTTGGGTCAGGCAAAAGGCACTTCGAATATGTCTGGCTAGCACTCGTGACCCACGGCAGCATCCATGTTCATACTTTCAGCATTCAAATCCAAGTATGGGGACCGTGGCAAAATTCAAGCAACGTAGCTTGCGGCACATGTTAGGATTTTGTTGCGTAGCCTACGCGATTCAAAAGGGGAAGCAATGAAAAGAAATCTACAGCACGAAGAACCCGCGGCACATCGCCTCTTTCTGTCACCTAAACCCTGAGCGAGTCCATGAAAGAGTGTAGCCCGCAAAGCACCACGACTCTGTTTACGGTAGCCCTTACAGAGCTGTCCTGACTGTGAATCGCTCCAAAGGTCAACCTAGAACCCAAGCCCTAAGCCCTAAGCCTAGTTCCTAACCCTTAGTCTCTAAGCCCGAATTTCATTCTTTTTAATTCTCATATAACCACTCGATTTAGTAAGTTGTTTCCATTTCATGTCCACTTTCTCGGCATTGGATTCTCCACTATTTCTATATCCCCCTAAACCCCTTAATCCTAAGCCCTAAGCCCTAAACCCCTAGCCCTAAGCCCAAAACCCTAAACCCACTCAACCCCTCAACCCCTCAACCCTAAGCCCTGGAAAAGGCCAAAGTTTCAGAAGTTGGGCGTGGTGCTTTGGCAGTTCGACCGCCTTGTCGAGGGCTTTCTGCCGAAGGTTCATGCAGCCCTCACAAGGTGGGTTTAGCGTTGAGGGGTTTGAGGGTTTGGGGTTAAGGATTGGATTGCTTTTAAGGAGCTTAAACTAAGTTACTACAATATGGGTAGATAGTAATTAATACTAAGAAACTTAAATTAAGTTGCCGTAATATGTCTATATAGAAAATGTAGCCTTATTGTGCGAGTTCTTGTGTGATATTGTTCCTTTTTGCTGCGCTTGTAATTCGAGTTTGCTCTGGACTTGCTGCATTGCTTTTTGTGCTGCTATTGTGCTACATGCCGTCACATCAGCATGCGTGCTGCGAACCACCTGGACTCCCCTTCTGGCTACTTTGAAATTGTGAGGCCACTCTAGTCAGCAGGTGCCGCGCTTTCATGAACTGAGCACATGGCAGGCATGGTGTGAACTCGGAGTACTACGCGATCCAATGGTTTCTGACGCTCTACGCTAGTGATTTGCCACAGGACGTGGTGCGCAGAATCTGGGATCGCTTCCTGGTCGCTGGTTGGAGAGTTGTGGTACAAATTGGCCTGGCTTTGCTCTACCGCATCCAAGACGCGTTGATCCACATGGCCCTGAACTCAGTCAAAGCAGGCACATAACCTGGTCTCAGCACGGCCAAGGGCTTGCAACGACTCGGCCCCGCATGAGCCCAGGACACTTGTCGAGCACTCTCCTTCCTCAAGAGGCACGGGCCTCAGAGCAGTAGCCAGAATGATAGTACTAGGACAACAAGTACCCATTCTTGTAAAATAGTAGTAAGCAACAACAGTAATACGAAGAGTATACTATGTGTATGAATAACAGCGATAACAACATTTGTAGTGATAACCAGAAGAGTAATAATCACGGTACTCACGCCAGTAGGAATAACAATGGCGTCAATAACTGTATTGTTATCAAACGACCAGGAGCTTTGAAATCCCAAGCTGGTGACTGTGGACCAGGTTCACGCGTAACGCTAAGTTCACCTCGAAGGACTTGCTGGACACCGCAGCCACTTTCAAGGCAGGGGAAGCAGCTCTCCCACCAGTAAACAAGAAGGGGAATACACCTTCTCATTATTGTTGTTACTGCTAGTCTTACTTACCTATTATCCATCACTATTATCGTCATTGTTGTTGCTAGGGAGCATGGCCTTAAACTCCAAGCCCCATGGCAGATCCGGAGGTTTCACATCGGATGCTCTCTGCCTTGGAAGCAGCTTATGGCTGGCCAGGGGAGTCACAGCTGACAGTGATTAAGGACTTGAACAGCGGCCGCTCTGGTGCATTAATTCCTCCCCCTAATAACACCTCCCCCCTGCTTAGTGCTAAATATGCACCCCAAATAGCATCGCAATATTAACATTAGGGGGCGGTGGGGCGGGGGGGCATTGCTTTACACCTTAAACCCTAAGCCATAAACCCTGAAACCTGAGGTGCTTATAAGTTACAAGCCTAGCCCGGCAGCTTCACACAAGGCAGGATGCTATCGCAGGCATGAATTTCAGATTTAGCCCTTGGTACCCGAATATATTTCCAGGGTCCAAAAGGACTACAAACCCTAAGCCGAAATAGACCCTAAACCTTAAACACTGCCTAAACCCTAGACCTTAAATGCCAAACCTGAAGCCCTAATCTGGCACACTAAACTCCTAAACCCTTAAAAGCCCCTAAACCCCTAAACCCTTAAAAACCCCTAAACCCCTAAACCCCTAAAAAACCCTAAACCCCTAAACCCCTAAAAAACCCTAAACCCCTAAAAACCCCTAAGCCCCTAAACCCCTAAACACCCCTAAAACCCTAACTTGCTGAGGTCAGGTACATTGGGTGGTGCAGGCAGTGCAGCCAAAGCTGAGCTGCGCCTACAACGATTCACCCGATGCGGAGCATGAGGCTGGGTTGCTAATGGGTTTAGGGTTTAGGGTTTAGGGCTTAGGGCTTAGGGTTTAGGGTTTAGGGTTAGCATCATGGAAAATATAGTGAATGATAGGGTTTCCCCAGTATAGTAACTTAATTTAAGTTCCTTAACAGCAACCCAGATGAGGCTGCTGGCCTGGGTTAAGGGTTTAGGTTTAGGATTTAGGGTCTAGGGTTCAGGCTTTGGGGTTTCATTGAGGTTTAGGACTTAGAGTTTGGGATTTCGGGTTTAGGATTTAGGGTTTGGGATGCTTAGGGTTCAGGATGTAGGGTTTTTGTGCAGTTATTTGGACCCTAGGCCGCAAAACCTGCAGCCCCCAACACTACAGCCCAAACTCCCAAACCTCATGTGAGTAGTATTTTATTTGGGGATACTATGGTACCCAATATAGAGTAAGATTCTATCCTCCTTTTGGAGTATAGTATTTTATATATAGGGACTATAATCTTACTAGGTTCAACCACCAAAAAAACGCTACTCAATGTGAAGTGCTTTATACTTGCATACAGGAGCCTACTGTCCGGTCCTTTGCACGAGCTTCAGCTAGCTCTGGATCGAACACAGGAGAAGGCGAGGGCTTGGTGCATGCCTAGGGTTTAGGGATCAGTGTTCGGGTTGTGGGGTTTGGGTCTTTAAGATGTAGTGTTTAGGGTTCTGGGTCTGGGGCTCAGGGTTTAGGTGTTATCTAGATTTCAGGTTTGGGGTGGCTATACTCAGGGTCCGGCCTTCTTTGCAGGTTTTGAAGCTTCATTTTTGATAGATACTTAGGATGTTGCTCATGATTGCACTCCTCAAAAGGAACGGGAGTTGATCAAAGCAACCTTTGCCCTAGAATTCTTACTAACTTACTAGGGAACCTCCTCCCCCCCACGGGTTTAGGGTCCCCCCCCCCCACCCAAAAAAAAAGAAGTCGCTGCGTAATCTTTACACCCCTTGAGATATCTCTCGAGATCCCGAAATTCTGGCATGTAGGATGCAGCCAGCCTACGTGACAAGGAAAGGCTAGAGGTTGGCTGCAGGGTTCCTGATACATACTGACGAATCTGGTGGTTTTTGAGGTTGAAGAGCATGCCCTAAACTTCCTAATTACCCAGAATAATAACCTACATACTCATTCTTTTTGATGTGAAGACTATTATGGTAGGTATTTGGTAGGTCTAGGCAAGGTTTCGGGTTGCCACTTCCCTCTGCTGGACCCGAAATGGAAGTTTTATGGCATCCTGTAATTGCACCTAGCTATATAGAGTGAGCTCGTAAGGGTCGGGTGGTTAGAACCGCAAATAAGGAGGACCCCATCCTCTTATGCTCACCCCTAAACCCTAAACTCTTAAACATCCCTAGGATTCCCCAAAAGAGCCACCACGCTTAAGAAGCCCCCCAATCCCACACCATCGCAGGCGATCGCCACTGCCCTCAAGGCAAAGTTCTGCCTTTTTTGCTCCACAACTTGGACACCGGCGAGACCACCATGATGGAGAAGGATCCCAACTCAACATCCAAGGGGGGGTTATCAAAATTCTGAGTACCTGTTTAGGGCCCCTGTACGAAGGGTACCATTCCAAGGGTATTGTTTAGGGACTCCGAAAAGAAGCGGGATGCTGGCCTGCAACCACTCTCAGGCTTTCTCCCAGTACAAGGGGGAGATGCACCAGCAAGCACGCGCCAAAGCTGGCCCGGCACAGGCGAGAAGCACCTTAAGAAGGGGGTAGTGCGTAGGGAGTTTCTTGTACTTAGATTTACCCTACAGCCCTATGCCCCGAAACCCCGACCTAGGGATATGCAGGGACTTTGGGGGATTGTAGGGCTTTCAACAGGAATTCCTTTAATAAACTCTCAGGTAAGGCTTTTTCGAGGAGTCCGACTTAATGGCCGACGTTGTTGTCATGGTTCCTTTAAGAGGTGTTTTGGCGATACATAGGGATTGGGCTTAGAGTTTGGGGTTCAAGTTTGGGGTTCAGGGTTCTTGTTGCTACTGCTATACTGAAACTTAAGGGTTGTCTTTGTAACCATCATCTTATTCTACATTCAGGTTCGGATTTTTGGAGTCCCTGGACTAAAAGCTGTAGCATACAGGGATCTGTATTGGGCCCCCTGTTGCTGCCAACCCCCAAATTCTACAACATGTATTTTGATCCCATGCAGGCTGCCCCCTCAGCGGCAGAGATGCCGGCCCTGAGTGGCGCCTTGTCAGATATGCCTGCTGGCAGCTTTTGGATGCAGCCCGGTGCTCAGTTCGCGGGATGTTAGAAGAATTTCAGAGAGGTGTCGATAGGGAATTCTTGCCAGCTTTTGGGACTAACCAGGGATATTCTACCAATCGTAAGTGTTTGGAGGTCCGAACTACAATGCTTCTAGCGCGTGTTAGTACGGAAGGGGGATCCCTTTTTCGAGATCTCCCAAGGGTTTCGGGAGAAGCAAGATCTCGCGCCCATCGGGAGCTCTCAACTTTGAAGCAGGAATCTCGGGAAATACTGGGGCGTTGTGGCAGTCGCTCTTCCGGCTTTGAAAAAGTGCCATCCCATGCGAAGTGGCATCAGAAGCATCCTAAGGACCGTTCAGAAGCAAGCGGAGCGTCGGCTTGCCCAAACATGAGTCGCACATCTGCTGTTGATCAGCTTAGATTCACGCACGTGAAGAGAACATTTCGCTCCTTTAGTAACGAAACTGAACCCTGCACCCTAAACCCTCAATCCTGACTCCCCGTGTTCCTGTCTCTGCCTACGCCTGAAAAGGGCCTTGGACCTGAGATCTGGAGCTGCAGAAGCAAAAATGGGCTGCTGCGTACTGTTATTGGGGTCTCTTGAAGTCATGGGTTCTTTTTGGGGATTCAGAAATTAATTGGTACTTTCCCAAATAAGGGGACCCCAATGTAGACCCCAAAAGACTAATCCTTAATATTGGGACCCCTAAAAAGGTACCCCTAATTTTGGGAAACCCCCAATTCTGGCTGGGTAGACTTTCGTGTAGATGACAGGGTTCCGATGCCCTGCACAGATCCATAGCCTGCATGTTCTACATGGAGGCTCAGGGATGGTTCTGCGTAGAGTTTTGTGTTGTTGGGGTTTAGGGTTTAGTAGAATATGGCTTTGGGTATATTATAACAGGATCCCCATACACCCCATATGCTGTCTACTTAAGGGGTTTGGGGAGGATAGCTGCAGTCCTGAATTCTGTTGAACTTAGTGTGGGCAGAACTGCTCATGAGCCTCGAAGCACACGTCACCCGCTGCCCATTGTCAACTACTGCAGCGTTTGCACGGTTCCATCTCAGAACAAATGGTCTAGGCGGGAATTCAGGGATCATACGCTGCCCAGAGGAAGAACATGAGCAGCAGTTAGGGATGATAAGGATGTCAGCTTCACGTTATTCCTAAACCTACTACAGCCAGCCTAGAGTGCAAGCAGCAACAGCCCATGCTCTTCTCGTGTTTTGTTGGCGTAGCCGCTACGCCCACGCACTGCATAAACTTGATAAGCAGCCCTAGACCGCACTTCCTAAACCCAACTGGTATATCTGTACGCCGCGTATATTATTCGTACAGAACTCTAACACGTGCAAGAAGGATCATCAAGTTTCGTACCACCCTTAGCCTGACATGGGACGGAAGAAGCAGACTTTGCCGCCAGAAGAACCTGGGTGGGAATATAGCGACCCTGAGGATCAAAGTCGACAAAGGATGCCCAGTTTGGGCGTATGTGGAGTTTGCCTGCTTTTCAGGCGTTTACTTCTGAGACTTCTAGAATTTGTGTTTTTTTTGCCGTGTGGTTTCAGAAGAACCTTGTATGCAGGGCTGAAGTTTTCTGAAAGACACAGGTCCCTTTCCTGAGCGTCCCTTTGTTATGTATTGTATCATGTTGGGGTCATACAGGGGCATCCCAATTTCTGAGAAAAGCTCAGAAGCGTAGGGGTGATGGCTTACAGATTAGGGTTTGGGCTCAGTTTTAAAGATGTGGGGGGGGAGGGTTACCATTGAAGGGAGTCGCAAGAGGCTAAGGGCCTTCGGTTCTCATTGCTTCCTGAGAACGGAAATTACAACTTAAAGGGGGACTATAATCCTAAAGAGGCCCCTGAGCACTTGACGATCCCTACAAATCTCCAGGAGCCTTCCTATTTACAATAAAGTCTTCTAGAAGCCTCTCCTAAATAGTACTTTCCACTTTCTTTTTCCATTATCCCAATATAGCCCTTATATAGCCCTAGTTACAACAACCCTAAACCCTAAACCCTAGAAGCTTCTCTGTGCTAACAACGCAGTTCACTTTGAAACCCTCATGCCTGGGTCGACTTCCTTAGTCACCATGAGCTATAGTCTAAACTCCTAGCATCCCCCTTTCTAACCCCTATAGTAGTCCCCTATATGTTCCCCTATGTAACCCCCCTATAATGAGTTTAGACTATAGCTCATGTCATGAAGGGAGGTGGGTCCAAGGAGGATTTTGGAGGAGCAGCAGGGTTTAGGGTTTAGGGTTTAGGGTTTAGGATTTAGGATTTAGGGTTTAGGGTTTTGGGTTTTGGGTTTAGGATTTAGGGTTTAAGTTTCAGGTTTAGGGTAGTAGGGTTCAGAGAGGAGTGCGGAGTATGGGGAGAACTGGCTTGCGTACCCTGCTTGGATCACTCCCTTTAGGACCTGGATACTTAAGTAGACCCTTGGAGGCTCGCGGGCAGTTGTAAGTGCTAGAAACCTTCTGTGTAATTATACAACCTAGAACCTCACTTAGAACTCTTATGAACCTTCAAGTAGTCTAGCAACTTCTGCAGGCCCCCGGCGTGGCCCAGGTAAGTTCAATTGCATGAGGCTTCTCGAGATTGCAGGTCCCTGAAAAGAAGGCCCTGGAAAGCATATCAAGCCAAATGACCCTGAGCCTGAATCCCTTGGCATATTCCTGCACCCGCTCCTTATGCGCCAGGGTCCTTTTGATAGGTATCCCCCAAAACGGAGTGCAATGAGGAAGAGGCGGTGGTTTTGGCCAATGTGGCGGAGCGGGCAGAGCGCTTCGATGACATGGTGGAATACATGAAGGTACCCCCCCACTCCGGGTGCAGCAGGGGTAAGCGATCGTACGGGGACCTTCCCTTCTCCATTGGCCTATGAAGAGCTTGCCCTGAGTTGCCCTAGGCTTCTCCGTGCATGGTCCGTCAAGGGACCTCCTGTCTGGACACCTATACTCTGAGGCTGTCTTCCTTTATTGCAGAGACATGGGAGGATATATTCTTGTGGATGTGTAAGCTGAGGCTTTCTGGCATTATCATGTTCCTTGCCTGTATCGTGATTTGCAAGCGCTGCATTCAATGGCTGCTCATCTATTCTTACTCTATGGCATGGCTCGTAAGAATTTTCTCATTTCTGCCTTGGATGCTGCACTTTCTCGGTAAGAGTTGCATAACACTTCTACTGTGTGTGTTGTTGAGGCTCTGAATGGTCGTATATCATAGATTGTTCTTGGGTGGGGGCAGTACCCATTTACTACCTTGTCTACTCACATCCCTAGGCTCCATACAACCCCACTCTCTTGTGTGAACCCGCCAAGTGCTGTACCTTTTAAAGCAGCTTTTGAAGCTTCCAAATTCTCTGAAAGTCCTTGCTGCCCCCCCTCGGCCCTCAGCCGCTGGGACCTCCCCATGCAGATAGAATGATTGGGTACGAAGGGACCATTTTCCGGACTTCCGTTTTTTTCGATGTTGCCTAAACCCTAAACAAAAGATGACTGTAGAACCTACCCCTAGAATGCCTGCAAGTCCCCAGCCCTGAACCCCAAACCCTGAAACCTGCATGGGCGTGTTGCAAAATCATTCCTACCCAATAGGGACCTCCCCATAATCCTTTTATAATTACTAGATATCCCCAGGGTCCGAGAGGGCTCCCTCTTTCCAGAATCTTCCACATCTTTCTGCCGACTATAAGCCCTAAATGGTAGCTTCCATTTTCTTTTCCATTGCCATTATCCCAATATATACCCCCTCTATATCCCCTATATAACCCAACATATCCCAATAATAACCCAGGGCTGGTTCTGGTGCGAAGGAGCGTGTCAAGGCGGGCAAGACCCTAACGCGCGAGGAGCGCGAAATGTTTTCGGCTGCCTTCAAGGCTGGGCTACACCAGACGTTGTAGGATTTAGGGTTTAGGGATCCGGCAATCGCAAAAGTGCAGGTGCCCTTGAATACCAACATAAGATAGATAGATAGATAGATAGATAGAAATCTCGATAGGTAGATAGCTAGGTAGATAGACGGATAGAAATACCGATAGATAGGTAGGTAGATAGATAGATAAACATATCGATAGATAGATAGATAGGTAGGTAGATAGATAGAGAGACAGACACAGAGATAGATAGATAGACAGATAGATAGATAGACAGATAGATAGATAGAGAGATAGATAGAATACTCTCCACTATACGGGCCCTCAAAAGGGACCCGTAACTTCTGGAAAGCCTCACATGAACAGGTTTTGGGGTATCACGGTTAAGGGCGTAGGACTGCCTGTAGTAGACCACCCTAAGCCCGAAGCCTTAAAAGCATGATCTTGGCGTCAGCTGCTGCATTGTGCTAACTTGTGCTTATGAGCAGTGGGGGAGCGGTTCCCATGGGTATCTCTGAAAACTCCTATACGTACCCCTGTTATGGTGCCTGCATTCACTCTTCCACTCCCCGTTATGCACAGGTAAGTGTGCTTGCTGCCCAGGGCCTCATGAGCAGTCGACGCTTTGCCGTACGCGTTGCGAAGAGCGTCCAAGAGCAGGAGGCACACCACCAAGACCCTCCTGGTACCCCTAATCTGGATTCCTGGTAGGAAGCTTTAAGTTCGTTTCCTAACGACGGTAGCTTAGCTCAAGTTCCTCAATGGCAGCCCAGTTATTGGGGTTGTAACTGTCATCGGGCTCCAAATGATTGCTGCTTAGGCCCTGATGGAGAGGGTAGTAGGTCTAAGCAAAGCCTGACTAAGTACCAAAATCGGTCCATTTTTGCCCTACACAGCTATTGTGAGATATCCTACAGATCCTTCTTAAGCGCTTGCGCCCGTACATCATGGGGCTGCGTGACAGTTTGGTGGATATCATGATGGTATTGCCAGGTTTGCTTGCGGTTCATCATCCTTGTGTCCAGTGTCATTCGCAGGGATTGGTAAGGTCCGTCAGATTTCCTACCAGCATAGACCCATGATGCTGATTCATTGCTGGGGATGCATCTTGATGCGAGTCTCCATCCATACTCATTTCCAAATTAGAAGACAGAATCCCCATAACAGGGACCCAGATCCACAATTCTGATGAAGTCCCCCTAGAATCGTCACATAACTTCGGGAATTGCCCGTGTATACTATCAGAAAAACCCTAAACCCTAAACCCCCGGCTGACCCCGTCCAGGAAGAGGCCGCAAAAGAGAAGAACGCAGCACTCGCGGCGGGATATCTGAGCAAGGTGCCGTCTTTTCACCTGCTTGAGCAAAGGTTTTTTGGTGGGTTTATAGGTCTTTGAGACTAAAGATTTCTGGGATCTTTTGTTCCTGTATAGTTAGCGTAAGTATACTGTTATACGCTACTGTCTCATTGTTATCATCATGTCTGGTATCATTATGGCTACTGCCATTCTGAGCATGACAGTTGTTCCGATGCCTGGCTCTGTTTTTCCTGCCACGTTGATTGAAAAAAACTCTCACAAGTTCAACTCCGAATCTTGAGCCGAACACCTTGAACCTAGAATGCAAATCCTTAACCCAAATCCCTAACCTCAAGCCCAGACCCCAAACTCTGAGCCCACCCTGAACCCTAAACCCTAACAGAAAAGAACCCTAAACCCTAAACCCTAACAGAAAAGAACCCTAAACCTTGTCAGTTCGCAATGCTCCTTGGCTCTGGTTGGCCCGAAGGTCCGATTGGAGCTGCAGGGTATCTGCATCCAGGCGAGGTGAAGCCAAAATCTGACCACTCCATTTAGGGCTTGGGGTTTAGGGTTTAGGGTTCTGGGGATAATTTGGGGTTTAGGGTTATGAAGTTTTAGGGTGTAGGCCGGTGTAGGGTTCAGGCCCACAAAAGATGGGAAGTGGAGATAGTCTGAGCTATAGCCTAAACTCCTTAGAGGGGGTTTCATAGTGGATCATATAGGGGAGTATTATTGGGGAGTATTATGAGGGTTTTTAAGGGGGATACTAGGAGTTTAGGCTGTAACTCATTCGGGATTTTGGGTTATGAAGTGCTGTAGAAGAGTCCGAAGTTGGACCTGCAGCAGACAGGGGAGCTCATAACCTGAAGGCCCTTGCCTATGTTGGGGACCTAGCCTTGTGAGCTTTGCCTGTATTGCATGGCAAAAAACCAGACGGCTTCCGAGGAATGTATCAAAGCCCTACCGAAAAGTGTTGGTCTGCAAGGATTTGTACTACTTCTGATGGTCTCCCAGCATTTTTCCAAGCGCGAGAAGTTTGCCGTTGATGCCAGGTGCTGGAGATTCTGGAGGGTATCTTGCTGTCCGAGTCTTAGCAAGATACACGAGGAGCAGAAGAAAGCTTTTTGGGTCCATATCCGCCATCTTATGGGTGAGGCCCTACGTAACTATGGCCCCAACCTGTTTCCTGGATCCTATATAACTCTTGGCCCTTGCGCATGCATTTGAAGGGGCTTATAGGCATACTTCGACCTTTCATTCTAAGTTCTGGTTTCTAAAGCTTCTGTAGTCACTGAGGCCAAAAGCGGAAACCGGTGAGCCAAAGGTGTTCTACCTGAAGATGCAGGCGGTCCTCCTTCTTCCTATCCAGGTATATTTTGTCGTCAGCTGTTTTTATTCTTGCTACTATGATTTCTACCCTTCATGATTTTTGTCTAGGTTCTGGCCGCTGTCATTGCCATGACTATCACTGCTGGTGCTGTTTAGGATTACGTGCATGCTCCAAGTTACCATTGTCGTTTGTGTATGTTTGTTGTTGCTTTTCTTCGCATCCTTAACCCTTGACATTATGCCTAGCAGCCTCCAAACTTCTTGAGATGCCACACGTCTTGGCAGGCAGATTACTACCGCTACTTAGCCGAGTTTCTGGATGGAGAAGGACAGAGAGAGGCCTTCAGGGCGGGGTCGGGTCCTATGGATTAGGGTTTAGGGTTTAGGGCTTGGGAGCCAGGTTCAGGCAGTTTGTAACACGGAGAAGGACAACAGAGAGGTCTGGGATTTTAAGGCAGTTCGCAACAGACGAACCTTCTTCATACTCAAAATCGCAGTATAGTAATAATGATCATAATCGTAATAGTAGGAACAGTAATAGTCGTTCCTATTGTTCTCACCGGCATTAACGTTGTGAGTACGGCCCCGCTTCGTACAAGAAACAGTCTCCTTACCTCTGCTGCTTTTAGATTTTTCTGTCCCCATTGCTGTTGGAGAGGTCGTTGGCAGCTGCCATCTCCAAATTTACCTCTAGTGAATCCTGAGCCCCCAGAACCAGTGTGGTTTTCGCACATATCCAAAGGGCCACTAAAGGCCCCTTATCTTGAGAAACTCCATCTCTAGGTATTCATGAAATCGGAACTTCCTGGTCAAAACTTTGCTGGAATTCTTTACAGAGCCATCTGTCAAAATCAACTGAAGCGTTGAGGGGTGAACTTTTTTTTCTCGATTCCTAGCTTGTATTGAAGATCATCCAATGAGTTGGTGCAGGCGCTCGCCAGTGCCGCTGAAACCTATGTGGCTGCCACCGTGGAGGCGATAGACTATAGAGTTGCAACGCTGTCAAGCATAGCCCCAACCAAATCCTACGTGCTACTGATTTGCATATCGGCATCTGGTGCGGGGCACCGTGGGGCAAGCAGGGCCAGTACATAAAGGCCTGGACAATGGCACGACAAGATAACGGGACGACAAAATGTATGGATTGGATACTACTCATGACCAGTTGCAACGTACACCCTAAACCATGGGAACCCTGAATCCTAAACCCTTATCCTCATGGGTGGGGGCAGGATGCAACGTATGGTTACCTGAGAAGTTCCGTCAGCGCCCCGATGACTTTATCAAAGCTCAACCCTCTGGTCACTGACCTTAATCCCTACGACTCACTGGTTCTTACTAGGGAATGCGGCAAGATATATATATATATATATGTGTATGTACGTATGTATGTATGTATGTATGTATGTATGTATGTATGTGTATATATATATACAGATAGATAGATAGATAGATAGATAGATGTAGGGTTTAGGGTTACTAGGGAGTAGGAAAATAAATAAATAAATACATAAATACATAAATAAATATATATATGGGCTAGCTAGGGATTATATTCCCTTGTTCCCCTGCTAACCCCCAGTACAAGTAAGATAGATCCTACACCCTAAGCCCGAAACCCTAAACCCTAAGCCCTAAACCCAAAAAAGCCTAAACCCAAAACCTTAAACCCAAAACCCCAAACCCTAAACCCCAAACCCTAAACCCTATAAGCCCTAAGCCCCGCGTAGGCTGAGACGCATCTCATGGTCACCCATCCCGTCCGGCTGGGCGTGGCCCTGAATCATGCCGTGCGCTACCAAGCCGGCTCTGCCCTCGCATTTAGGGTTAAGGGTTTAGGGTTTTGAGTTTAGGGTTTAAAGTTTAGGGTTTAGGGTTTAAGGGTTTAGAGTTTTGTTCGCAGCTGCCTCTGAGGGCTTGGTCTCTAAAGGGAATAGAGGTTATATAGGGGATAATGGAACAGAAATTGGAACCTATGGAATGTATTATATATGGACTATATAGGGTGCCAACGAAGCTAGCCATCCTATGTAGCCAACCTTTTTTTGGAGCACGCAAAGCCTGGCTTTTTTTGGGGTGGACTTTTGCTCGGACTTTTGCTGGCAGGTCTTCAAGCAGACTGTGCTGCAGGACCCGGCCAGTTTGTGTGTTTCTTTCGGTGAGCTGCGGCACTGCCCACTAGAGGCAAGGGAGGAGGGAGAAAGTTGTTTACGATATCTCCTTGGAACATGTGCAGGCACTCTAAGCTAGGCCTGAGGCAATTTCGGCTGCCGAAGCCGATTAAGACTCGTGATTTTGGCACCTGAGATGCACATGTCCGAGGTTTAGCGGTGAGCAGGGGAAGATCTCGTCATGATCGCTTAAAACCCGTAGTTTCCTCCTTAGAATCTGAGGAGCAGGGGGAGTTTCCTCCTCAGAAGGAGACACAAAGGGGGGTACGCTGATTCGGTAGACTTTGGTAGTCAGACTTGGTTATCCGATGCAGATCTTCCCCATGTAGCCCCCATAGGATCCAGAATTCTTACGCTTTTGGGTGGCTTGGGCAGGACACTGCAACAGCTGTGCAGATGGTAAAGGTGATGACCCCGGCTGGCCTGCAAAATGATTTTTCGAGACAAGGGTTGCTCCAGGTACCCACGTAATGATTTGCAGGGGCCCCCAACAATTAGCGGGAAGATTGGTACTAAAGTTCCCAACATATCGGCAGACTGTAAAATAGGATAGTATCCTCCAATTTGGTTGCGGGGTTTTATGAAGAGAAAAGTCATCTGACTTGATTCAATCACCGAAGAAGCTATCCCTAACCTCCCCCCTGCACACCTACATGATCCAGGAATTTTGTAGTCTTATATGTTCTTTTCCATCTGGTGCTCTAGAACTTCATGAAATCGTATAAATTCTACATCTCTGTATATCCTTCCTTATCCGTGCATTACCGTCAGAAGGGTTTCGAGCTATACCCAAGTCCTAAACCCCAAACCCCTAGACCTGAAACCCTAAACCTTCAGCCCTATACCCTAACCCTGACACCCCTAGACACCAAAACCCTAAACCTTAGACCCACCCTTTAATCTATCTTAGGATGCGCTAGAACTGGCCGCTCGCAGCCTTGAGGGAATGCCAAAGGTGCGGCATGCAGATTGCAGAGCTTGATTATTGGATTAGAGTTTGGGGTCTGGGGTTGGGGTATTTCCAGGTTTTAGGTTTTTAGCATTTTTGTGTGGGGTAGGGATTTGGGGTTTAAGTTTAAGGCTTGGAGTCAAGGGCTTGCAGGTTTAAGGTAGGGTTAGGGCCTCTGGTTTGCTTGGGTGATGGGTGTGGTACACAGGCCTTGCATGAGGCAAATTGGGGGGTTGTTGGGGTGATCTTAGACCAGGATGTGGATACTGTATGCGGTGGGCTAGGGCTTTACTGAGATTAGCAAATCTGGCAAGCGACTGTGTCTCAGAGACAGGCTCCCCTTTACCGCAGGATTTGCCTGCAGAAGCTGACAAGCAAATATTGCTTGAAGAATCCTTAGACTGGCTCTTTCAAGGAGGTTTGCCCTGGCAAAAGCGATTCATTTCAACAGCCCAGTGAGTAAAAGTCAGCAGGGCTTATATGCAAAATTGTCATGAAGGCCTTGCTTCAGCCTGTTCTGCTCGCAAGTCTTTGGCGCCTTCTGTGCAGGAAGCAGTGCGCGATGCACAGCCCCTCATGGCCATCATGAAGGCTAGAAGTCTTTGATGAGTCTCACCCTCCTCTTGACGCATTGCATTTGCCAGTCCCAGACTTTCGTGGTTTTCAGCAATGCTTACCGATGAACATGTTTGGATTTAAGAAAACCTTCCAAAAACGCCCACGATTTGTGGACTCCATCAACCACGAATCTGATCAGCCAGGACAACCTCAGTATGTGGTCTGATGAGGAGGTGTCCTGACGCTGGAGGCTTGGGAATCAGATCTATGTGTTACTTTTCTGTGCTAAGAGTGTCCGACAAAACAAGGGGTTGATGATTTTGAGAAGTCCCAAATCATGGGGATGGGGGCATAGCGACAACAGAAACAGAAAATCAGCAACAAATGAACAAAATCACCGACCAGAAAATTAACCATCCCAACTAAGTAGTAGGTAGTAGTACTAGGTGGTGGTGGTGGTGGTAGTAGTAGTAGTAGGAGGAGGAGGAGGCCCAAAATCAGAGTCTCGTTGGGAGCAGACTAGGGAAAATCGCCGACTCCCCCAAATCAGAGTCTCGTCTCAACCAGACTAGGGAAAGTTGCCGAATCCGGCCGTTTCTCCTCCCCGGGCGAGGGCCCGATGACGACAAAGCCTGAGCCGTCGGGCGAGGGCTAGACGACGACAAAGCCTGAGCCTCCACTTCACACAGAGGCGAGGGCTGATGCGACGACTTCTGCAAGTCTTCAGGTGCCAGAGTTGCCAGGGCCAGAGTCTTCAGAGGCATACATGTTGCATGCAGATGTTCTCTCATCGACATTCTGCAGTATGTTCGAATCCCAGCCCCTAGTCCTCATTCCCCGGATGTGCACAATAAACGAAGCCTTTGCTTGCAGCATTGACCGCCTTGACCACTTGTTCATGGCTGTTTCGGAGTATCTCAGCTGTTGAAGCCCCTGGCCTCATGTTTGTATAAGGGTGGGTGGGTTGGGGGATTGCCAAAATTTTGGTGCATTCCACTTTTGACCACGCAGGCGCCCCCGCGGTAGCTCTCGTGCAGGGCAGGGAGGGGCTGGAGGATTGCCAAATGTGGAAAAGTACGAGGCATGGGGCTGGGGGGGGACTGCCAATCTGGAATAAGAGGAGGCATGAAATTTTTCAGACACGCAGGCGCCCCCACGGTACTGTCGCTTTTTTCCGAGGGGTGAGAGGGGCTAAGGGGAGGGGTTGCCAAAACGTGGAAATTCATGAGGATATTTGTTTTTCGGACCTGCAGGGGACCCAAGGCTTCAACAGGTTCCAATGCGTGAAGTGTAGTAGGAGTCTCACCCCTGGAAAGCCCCCAGATTATCAATCAACAAACTGGCTGCTACTGAGACTCTATGCCTTTCCCAATGAATGTTATTCATCTATAGAAAAGACTCTCAAGTTCTAGGACTTTGAGTTCTGGCGCTTCAAGTTCTGGTTGTACAAGTTCAGGGACCGAAAAGCAAGTCTGATGCTCAGAACTTTTGCAAAGTAGTAGTAGTAGTAGTAGTAGTAGTCGTGGTGGTGGTGGTGGTGGTGGTGGTGGTGGTGGTGCTAGTGCTAGTGCTAGTGCTAGTGCTAGCGCTAGTGCTA